ACCTAATGCCGGGGACTTAAGTGGAGAGAAAATGTTTTGAGAATGATGAGGACAATGAATGTACAAATGCGCTTTACACAATTGATGTATGTATGGATTGTGATAAGAGTTGTATGAGCCCCTAATAACATGATTTAAAAAAAATAAGAAGAAGAAGAAAAAAAAAGGAATGTGGTTCTGTCCCAAAGAATATCCTGGGGGGCGGGGGGCTGAGGGTGTGGAGTGGGGGTGAGGGTGGAATACCTTGGCAGCTAGGATTCACCACCCCTGACATTCTCATCTTCTCGGGTCAAAAGGCTCATGGCAGTCCAGAGGAGAGGGAGGTGGGGGTGGGGGGGCGAAGGGGACGGCCTGGAGGGGCCAAGGGCACACAGATGACTAATGTTGTGGGGTGAGGATCTCCCAGAAGTCATATGCGTTCTACCGAGCCCATCTGGCCAGTTCCTCTGGGAGTCTCTCAGGCCAAAGCCACTGTTCCTTCTGTCCCTCCCTTCCTGGCCTGTCCTTAAGAGTACACACATCTCTAAAATCAAAGGATAGCAACAAAAACTCGTGCTTCACCCTCACTACTTCTCGGGGGAGGTGGATCCACATAACGGTGCTGACGACAGTAGGAAGCCCTTTTCCGGGACATCATTCTGGGTACAGTAGAGGGGGGCAACAGGGAGAAAGCCCCCGGCGGGAGGGAATGACACCGCGGCTGCAACAATGGGCTCAGACAGAACCACTGCAGTGAGGGAGGGTGGCGCGGCACGGCTGGTGTTTCGCTCGCTCTGCTGCCCACCGGAGGGCACCTAACACCAACGACAACAACGATTGCTGTGCTGAGCTCAGAAATGAGTGTGGGTCTCAAGGCTGGGGAAGGGGTGGGCCGAAGGCCAGCGGGGCTCAAACACCTCAGCAGAGTGAAGAAGCCTGAGCTGGGCAGCAGGGAGGACGTCAGTGGTGGCCCCGCCAGCAGGACCTCACTGGAGGAGCAGCCCAGGGACGCTTCCAGGACATCGCTGGCTCTGCCGTGGGCCTCTCTTGTGTCTCCCGCTGCATGAGTGCCTCGCTGTGGACGCTGAGCGCGTGGGTTGAGGGGACGCCAGAGGGGCTGGTCACTGGAACTAGCCTTTCAGTTCTGGCTAGACTGGAGCATGTGCACTGGTACAGATGAGAGCTCATGACACATGGAGTCCAGGTGAGATAAACCCCTCAGGAAAAGAAATGAGAGTAACAATACTAGGAGGGAAGGGGAAGCGGGGGGGAGGAAGGGGAGACCGACTGCAATGATCAATGCGTAATCTCCCCGCCCCCACTCCCAGGGAGATGAAGAACAGAAAGGTGGGTGAAGGGCAACAGCAGTCGCTGTAAGATATGAAAACAAGATCTTTCATAATTTCACAAGGGGTCACGAGGGTGGGAGGGGGGAGGAACGGAGAAACAGAGGAGCTGATACCAAGGGCTCAAATAAAGTAAATGTTTAGAAAATGATGATGGCAACATATGTACAAATATGCTTGATATAATTGATGTATGGAATGGTATAAGAGCTGTAAGAGCCCCCAATAAAATGGTTTAAAGAAAAAAAGGGGGGATACATGGAATGGGAGTAGAGCCATGTAAATAAAATATACACCGTATATAAGCTGAGTTTTCAGCACAATTTTAATGCAGTTTTTGTGCTGAA